GAGTGACTAACGAGCCGATAAGTCTAGTCCAGACTCACATACACTCAGAGCTGGGCAGTAGCTAGCTACCAAGTAGTTAAGCTACTAGCTTAGCTACTTTTTTGGTAGCTAATAACTTATTCAAGCTACTTCCAAAAAAAAATAGCTTGTAGCTGTAGCTTTTGGTAATGTGTTTCAAGTATTCATAAGCTACTTTGAAAAGTAGCTAGCTACTAAAACAAGCTACTTAAACTACTTTTGGTAGATAGTTAATAGTTATTTAGGTATTAATGGCGGAAAGTGTCATTTACCGCCCGAGGGTGTGGTTAACGATACTCAACACCCAAAATACCTATTACGCTTTATGCGCTGCGAACTCTTCTAGTTCAAAAATAAAATAACTAAGTATACCTATAATATAATGGCATCCATTCGACATTGTTTTCAAAAATAAACAGTTTCCCCCTTATAAAGGCACGTTTCCACCAACCTATCGCCCGCGTTTGAATTTACCGCTCGATAAAAGTAACTTTATACTTTAATTGCTCAAACTACAATTATCATTCTCCGGAAAATTCTTATCCTGCCTTGCTTAGACTAGTTTCTAGTTATCTCTGTAGGTACCTATGTTTTATGTGTCCTATTTTATTCTCGCATTCGCAGATCACTGTGATCAAAGTGAACCTAATAAATTAATGTCCAGTGGTTTTTGACAACAATATGAATACTACTTCTTAGAGAAAGTTAATATGTTATTTTCGTATGACGATATTATGAAATTAAATTAGGTGAGGCATGTACATTGATAAAAGTAGCTTAAATAGTAGCTTTCAGTAATTCAAAATGTAGTTAAGTTACTAATAGCTTAGCTACTTTTTCAAAGAGGTAGTTGAGCTACTGAGTAACTTAGCTACTTACAATATAAAGTAGCTTGTAGCTAGCTACTTTTTCCAAGTAGCTTGCCCAGCTCTGCATACACTGCCTACAAACAAATGTTTGGAAACATTTGCCCGTAAACAAAACATTTATACACGTGTGTGTAGGTGTTTTCTTTCAAAGAACATTGACACTTGTACGCAACATCCTATTTTAACTTATAAGCGCTTTTTAAAACTGGTACCTTTTAAAATTTGTATGGTTTTTTAGAATACACATTTTTTAAAGTGATTAGTATTAAAAATAGTATAAAAACAAAGTTTCCCATCACTGAGAATGAAGCTGAAAGCAATGAACTATAACCGTTCGAAACAAGTGACTAGCGAGCCGATAAGCCTAGTCCAGACTCACATACACTGCCTACAAACAAATGTTTGGAAACATTTGCCCGTAAACAAAACATTTATACACGTGTGTGTAGGTGTTTTCTTTCAAAGAACATTGACACTTGTACGCAACATCCTATTTCAACTTATAAGCGCTTTTTAAAACTGGTACCTTTTAAAATTTGTATGGTTTTTTAGAATACACATTTTTTAAAGTGATCAGTTTTAAAAATAGTATAAAAACAAAGTTTCCCATCCGGATGGAAAGCCAAAAACTTTAAAAATTTGTTTAAATGTTTTTAAACAAATGTTTGCAAACACATTTTAAACAACTTTTATAGTTTTTATACAAATGTTTAAATTTTGGCGGGCAAATGTATAAGGTCTGAACTCGGCTTTATACCGTTTTTGAACAGTTTCTACACAAATGTTTAAATGTTTGCGGTGTAGCGCTATTTTAGGTCTCCCTGTATATCGTGATGTTTTAGGGATTTTCCGACTTACAGTCCAACGGTTATCTCGGGCGCCACCCTTAGGATTATAGTGGTTAAGGGCCCACGTAGTGCACTAGGTAGCTTTTATACAGTGGAGAAACGGTATGCCAGGGGTCATAGATACGATATGGGTAGAAATAAAACCAACAATTAAGGAAAATAAAGCATCGTTCGTGTTTGCCAAAATATACCTACAATAAGGTAAACCAGTTCTTCTCAATTCTTAACCAGTAATCACCCTGTATATTGTAAACCTTAGAACCTACTTCAGAAAGAAAGGAGAACCTGGGTAAGTATGCGTGCTTTCGGTTACGGTAAATTGTGATCGAACAATACGGTATAATATTTAGTGTACGGACAGTTTAGTGACGCCCGACGGTAAAAGACTCTCGACCGCAAACGGATAAAACGACACAAACATGAGACCTGTTCTGGCAACGAACCATCGTCGCTTCCACCAGACGTATACATGATTCGCAAATATAAAACACGCATGCGCGTCTGACATTGTTGAACGGTAGGTTGCTTACAGGTAAGAAACAGAATAAAACGGAGAGAGAGAGAAAGCATCACCATCGACGCCATCCTCGTCATACGAACTGTTATACGGGGGCCTTTTGGCATGGCGAGATGGCGTAGCTGTACTCCCCTTGAGTCCGATGTAGCACGGGTCCACACCGACGCAAGGAGGAGAGCTTATTCAACATGGACAACAGAGAGCTGTCTAACAAGCCTAATCTACGCCGTCATACCATTTGTAATACGGGGGCCTTATGGTATGACGTCACAGACTTCGGCCGCACTCATCCCCTCGCACCGGACGTAGTACGGGTCCGTACCGAAGCAAGAGGCAGAGAGATAGACAAATCTCAGTAAAATATAGAATGCTGAATATTCCCTGCATTCCATCGAACGTAATACGAACCAAAACGATGAAATGCAGGCAATGTACCATCGGCTCCATACCATGTCACCATGGTACGGAGAGATACGGCAGTATCAGACATACCCTTAAAGCAACCGCTCTGCTGCTGCTGCCGCACCTGAAACAGTGAGACGGCGGTGTCCGTCTGCCTGCTATGGCCTGGGTACTGCGGTTTTATTGTCATGACTGGTTTTCCCCACTCTGACGCGAGGGCTTGTGGTTGAGTACAGCGCGCGGCGATTCCGGAATATCGCGTTTCGAAATATATTCAAGCGGGGAAATAATTAATATCAAATTATACCGCAAGCACACATTCAACCCCAGTAAAATTAGGTAACATCGTTACAGCGGGCAAATCTATGTAGGTCTGGACTAGGCTTTAGGCGTCACGAACCCACCGACATCTATAAGACAAGTGTTGAAGACGCGTTTGATTCGGGTCTTCCCTATACATGACCAGGTCGGGGATTCTAAAATCACGATTCGACATACGATTCGACAACGAGACGATTTTTCCGACGATTCTAGGTTAGAAATCTCATTGGAATTATACCTTTCGACACGACAAGGCCGGTATCGTTGTCGAGTCGTGTGTCGAATCGTGATTTTAGAATCTCGGCCCAGCAATAACCAAACCTCCTTGTTTATTAACAATGGCGGATTTTGAAATAAAAACATTATACATTTTTGGACGAAACTGTTAATTTCCTTTTCCTTTATTCTACCATTTTATGATTCACTTTGGAGATTTATTGTTGGTGTTCTGATCTAGACGTTCTCCCCATTTCAATCCATGATCAAAATTTGCATATTGTTGTTGACAAAGTTGTTAATAATTTTACTACATATTTAGAGTGCGAATTTTGCAACAAAAATGGGAGAACTTCTACTACAATCTATTATTGTTATGAACCTACCTTCATTTCACTGAAAAGTGGTCAAGATTTAGAATTTAACATTCCGAGGTGAAGGTCTGTAAATAAGTTTTATTTCCACGCCCCTCTTAAAAGTCGCTTTCTCACGATTCGATTTTAGTTGATCAACTTTAGTGGATAAACTAAAATCGATGCAAAATAGCTGCGAAAACATATGCTTCAATTTTAATCGGTCAACGTTAGTTGATTCCACAAAAGATTCAACCATTCAAACAATGAACAAAGTTAGTCGACTCGAATCGATGGATTTTTATTGCGTGCTCAAGAGTCTGTTCGTTGTGTAGTGAAAAATTAACAGAATGCGTGGGTAGTGGTCTGAAAGTATAAAGGTGCGTTTTTGAATTTTGGGTCCAATGTTCAATAGTAGTTCTTCAATCTTTTCGTTACACACTCTCCAATAATTTTTCCTTTTTGTCCTTCAAAACAAGTTCTTAGAAGAATTGCTGAAACTCCATACTGGATGTCTCTTTTGAATCCAGTTGCCTACCTACCCAAAAACACGTTTCTTATGCTTCTGGTCTATCCCGATATTATTTTTCTCAGTTCCTGAATCAGTAAAGCAGTACTTGATAACTTTTTTCTATGACCATTAACAAAAATAAAAAGCCTGCATCATATTTTACCTCATCCGAAAACGTCATTTTCATCACTAGTGATAAAATATCCCTTAATGATTCAAATTTCAAGTGCTAAATACATTCTCATACAATTGTTTGGTAAATTTCAAACAACCAATCGAAAGACGAGTTACTTAAATTGCTCATACATACCGGGTGTGAATGTAACATAATAGCCAACTGTTTCGCGTTCAAAAATAAATTTGTAAAAGTGACTTATTACAGAAAGAAAAAAACAAAATTAATTTCAGCATGGAAACTCGCTTGCGGAAAAATACCAAGAAGCCTTTTTTAAAGAAAGTTTAGAAAAATCTCGGTTGGACGTAGAAGTTTTGTCAGTTATAAATTATAAAAGTGAGAATTATTCACACATAAGCCGTTCAAGTATTATAGTATAATTTATTTTATAATAAAACTGATATTAAATCGATTAGGTGATACTCCATATAAAGCTTTTCTAGAATCAAGATATATCTATATTATGGATATAAATTAGGACATTATTTCAGTATTAATGATAAAAATCAACGATTAAATATAAAGGCAGGTCCATAACAGATTATTCTTGTTATTCGTTCTCGTCTTGCAGTTGGTGTGCTGCATACGTGTGTTTACATTGTTGTCAATTTCTCACCTGTTGTATCCATCCTATAATTCAAATCGCCTTGAACAATACAAAACTATTTTTGGAGGACAACCAATACGAGTAAGAACATCATAGAATGGCCCTGTGAGATCTCGTATTTGGAAAAAAAACCCTACTTCACAAAACAAAAAATATACCAAAATATATTTCAATAAGGCATTTATTGAGAAAAAATAAAAAAATGATTACATAAGTAACGATTACTGATCATTGAGGTCGCACAGATAAAACTGTCCCTGATATCCTAGTGAACAGAGGATGAAATTTATCATGTACGCCAAGATCATTCCAAACTTTAAGCAATAAATCTTCCAAAAACGAGATAGCAGTATATATATCAGGCAATTCAATAAACTCATCAACTTTTACAGTAAACAAAAATAATGCCCTTTCAACTACAGGGTTATATTCATCACAAAATAGATGTAAAGCTTGAGCTGACTTACCAGGAACTAATTGTAAATTTTGAATAATAAAAACACCTGATTTTTTTAGCTGTTCACGATAATTTGTAACTATACTGCCAAAATCATCTTGGAGTTCGGTAGTATTTAGGACAGAGCCTTCTATATCAATTGGTTCCTGTGAACAATCAGATAAATAACAAACTGCCGCCTTGGAAACCTTTGCTATAATATTTTTTGTAATAGCCATAGAGTCGTTTTTATATAAAAATACTATCACCCTTGGCTGTTCAAGTTCAAGTATTTCTTCAACACCTACTCTGATACTGCGCCAAAAATCTTCATCTTGTTTATTGAACTGCTTCCAAACTCTTTCAAAGTCTTCAGTTAAATTATTGGGTTTATTTACCATTCCTTCTTCATCATTGCAGTATAAAACACAAGAACCGAGATAAAGAGCAATGATCAGACATATGATAACTGCAAATAAATAAATATTTCTGATTAGTGTTAGTCTTCTATAATAATCCTCAATAAAATTAAACATCCATTAGGTACTAACTTTAACCAAAAAAAAAGATCATAACTGCTAGGCAAACTTAGTAAGAAAAGTATCAAAGCTCTAACCGAGTTTTTCTTGAGACTCTGCAGACAACGGGGTTGGGGTTGGAAGAAAAAGAGGAAACACCTCACCCCTTTCTACTGAACTGGGATGACGTTAGTCGTTTAGGGATGAAGAATCTGGGAAGTTCCTTTATGCAGTTAGAAGACATTTCATCTCTGGAACCACGGAATATCCTAAGATTCCTGAAGGACTTAGGACTCGAGGGGCTGATTTGAACAGGAAACCTGAACTTAGCAGCAGAAGGAGGGGAACAATAGATCAACCTAGGTCGTAGCGCAGCTGACCCCGTTCCCTCCTCAACACATATGCAATACATTACAATACAATAGAATGCGTACTTGTGAAAGTGGGAACACAAAAGACAATTAAAGCATCTTAGTGAAGAGAGTAACTTATTATAGGGTATAGACATGAGTAAGTATGTGTCACTGTTTATGGAGCAGCTTGTAAATGAACGTCGTTCTCTATGAGCTCATCAGTGATTCAGTTGTTGAGAGAAAATTAGATGCAATTTTTAATTTTCTTGAACTCGTTTTCTTACCAGTTGAATGGATTGATGGAATGAATACTTGGGAAAATGATTGAGAGCACCAAGGGAAGGGGCGGTTAATGTTGGGCATTAGTCCGTGTGAAAAAATTAGAACTTAAAGGGGATGTGAAAAACAACTTAACTTAAATTACCTAAATCAAGAAAACAAATCTAAGATCTATCGTGAAAACCGAAGTCTTATATTCAAAATAGTATCCGAGAAAATCCCTTATGAAAATATATTTTGCGGGAGTTTGTGACGTCACACCGGCTTACTGCCGAAATCGTAGCCTCCTGTTCGTTCAATCGTCAGTGAAGCGTGTCCTATACTTTAAGTGGTGCAATTCGCTTCAAGTGAGATCGCTGACTTTTGTTTTGGAAAATTTTACACGTGTTCTAACTGTACCTTTGAAGCCGCTGTGACGTCACAGCCTAGGCTTGAAAACGGTTCAACATAGCAAGATGCAGTTCAAATAGTTGTTCTTAGATTTTTTTGCACTAAAACCAATTTTTGGGTCACACCCCCTTTAAGTACCTAATAAGAGGAAGAACAAAGGTTCACTCTAGTAACATAAAAGTAGCCTACTTCCTGGAAATTTCCCTTTTCTGCCTAACAAATATACAAGTTACAGTTCCCAGTTCCCAAAAAATTACATGATATAATATTCACATTGTCTTTATATTCACAATGTTCCAAAGTTTGAATTTAATAAACACTTCAGCACTAAACAATTAGTTGGAAAGATTTGGAATCAACAGTAACATTTTAATCATAACTATTGGATAAAAATCGAAATATGAACCCCTTTAACAGACAATTTTTTTTAACAGTTACCTGTAGCAGGCTGCGAAGTAGACTAGAGAATTATGTATGTAGATTTCTATAAGGGTGTGCTGACACCAAGGCTAAAACTAACCCCAAGATAGAAAGACAGTCACAGTGTACACTTTTTTCTGTGCCAATCACTTTGAAGAAACGATGCCAAATTGGCGATTATTGATGCCTTTGATTGTGAATCAGAATGTTGCTCTCACAAGAAACACTAAGTACCCTTGGTAAGTTGGCCCTTGGTAATAATGCCGTACCGCTTTATAGATTAAAATAAACATTTTTTTTCAAAACTTACCTCCTAGGTAACAGTCATTTAACAAAGCTTGAATGCTAAATCCTTGGCTAAATCCATTGCAAGGAGGAACCTGGGGAGAATTTGTTTCTTTCTCTTGCTCAACAGAACTTATGCTTTGTGTATTTGAATCCTCAGAATCTGAATTTTCACTATCTGACTTGTAAGGAAGACTATCTGACCGAATGTTATCAGGTCTATCATACATAACATTTTGGAATCTATAAAAGCAAAGTTTTAAAATTTATTGCATGAAAAATGATAAAAAGTCGAGTAAAAAAATATTCTACCACGCACTTGGAGCTTGTTTTTCTAGCTTCTGTGGATTCATTAGCTTCACCAAGTTCACTGCTTATCTCTTCTCCAAATAAATAATCTTCAGGTCTGGCTTGCACAAAAGAGCTTGCCCTTGCACTAGAAATATCTGTAATCTCAATATCTTCATGTATAACTTTTCGGTTGCGGGAACGAAGATTTCGGGGACTGCTACTCGCGTCTGGATTTGGCTGAAAATACGATTTACTTATTTATTTAATCATCACAAACTCTATAGATTGACATCCAATTACAGAGTAGAGTAGAGGACTATCCAAAGTGAAAGTAAAATACGAATAGAGAGTTACTTAATACTAAAATCTATATAATTCATTCCAATATTTAACTATGTATAAAACAAGATGGCTAACGATTTGGACGTAATTTGTGGTGTCTGCAGTGTTAAATGTGGTTCTGGGTCAATTTCGTGTACAAAATGTGTCAAATGGTACCATTCTAAATGTGTAAAATTGTCTAATCATCAATTAAATCATTACAACAAAGAACTAAAACAACAAAACGGTGAAAGATGGGTTTGTGAATCCTGTCTGAACATTGAGGTTATGTCAACTGAAAATCGAAACCAAAATAAAAGGAAAAAGCTGGATGATGGTGATTTTTCCGAGGAAATCGGAGATAGAGACTGGTCGATTAACGACGTGATGAAAAAGCTTTTAGATATGGATAAAAAATACAACATTTTATGGTTGAAATACGAAAAACAAGTTGAAGTAAACAATGACCTGAAGCTCGAGGTTGCTGACCTAAAAAACCAATTAAATAATGAAATTAACAAAAGGGAACAACGTGAAATTAAAAGCAATGTAATCGTGAAGGGAATTCCAACATCACAATCAAGCGATGATGGAGAAATAGTCAAAAAAATGAGCAATTTATTAGAAGTTCCTGTAGGAACTTTTAAGTCCTTCAGGCTTGGAAGGGGATCAGACCGAGAAAGACCCGCACCGTTAAAAGTTTGTTTTGATAATGAAAATGACAAAATAAGCTTTATTAAAGCGCAAAAAAGAAAGAAACTCACAACAACAGATCTCGGCTATACAAATGTTAACAACAATATATACATTGACCACGATCTTACCAAGAAAAACCAAGACCTATATAGGGAGGCAAGAAAATTCAAAAAAGACAATGACTATAAGTTTGTATGGCTAAGGGACGGAAAAACCTACCTTAGGAAGGATGAAAACAGTAGAGCTATCCTTGTTGATGATTTTGAGGTTTTAAAAAACTAAAAACATCTTCCTTGACTAAGGGGCCTATGCTCCGTATAACTTACCTGAATATGCAGAGCATGAGAAACAAGATCGACGAACTTGGTTGTTTTTTAAAAATACATGACTGTGATGTCCTCATTTTAACCGAAACATGGTTGTCAAGGGACGAAACATGCTTCTTTGATCTGGAAGGATTTAATGCCAACCATGCATGCAGGGAAGGACGAGCTGGAGGAGTGTCCATATATACAAAAAAAAACATTGACTACAGATTGATTGAGACAGTGGAGGGAACATCTCCGTTCAATTTACTATCGATACACATAACAAGTGCCAAATTGGACTTAATAGGAATATATAGACCGCCAAGGTATGTGTTTAATGAATTTATTGAGGTTTTTCAAAATATTTTATCAAAATACAAACAAAGCACAGTTGTGGTAGGAGATATGAATGTAAATCTGCTAGGTGATTTAGAAGAAAAAAATGAATACTTAAATGCTATAATTACTAACGGATATAGGGTTAGCAACATTATTAATTGCGAGAATGCTACAAGAAATGGTATTTTCCAAATGTCTATAATAGACCATGTTATTGTAAATAAAAAAAATTTATGTGATGTTTCTGTGATTAACTGTGCATTGTCTGATCATAATCCTTTAATTATAGGAATAGAATTAGAGTTAGATGTATACAAACCAAAAATAACTAAAACTTTTAGTATACTAAATAAAGATAAATTTAAACAAAACTTTGATGCTGTAAATGGAAATAATAAGGATATCCACTCATTCCAAGAGCTAACTGCGTTAATTCAGAAATGTAAAAAAGAAGCTTCATACCAATGTACCCTAAAACATCGTGAAGGTAATAACTGGATGACCTATGATATTTTACAGTTAATCAAGGAACGAGACAATAAATATAAAGCATTAAAACAACTAAAAATTAATAATGAACCTACTAAAACTACCGAAGATGAATTCAAAACTTTGAAAAACAAGATTAACTGTGAAATACGTAAACAAAAAACATCCTTTTTTGCAAATCAGTGGTCCAATGCAGGGAGCAACCCCAAAAAACAGTGGAAAGTCATAAATTCTCTAATAAATAAAAACAAAAAAAAAGATGCTGTAGGCTCTCTGGAAATAAATGGTTTGCTGCAATCTGATCCAGCGAGAATTGCAAATGAGTTCAATAAATACTTTGCAAGCGTGGGTGAATCAATTGTACAGTCAGTAAATAGGGAATGGTCACAAATGGAGACTAGAGTAGATTTAGGGGAGCTTGAATGTGATAGGACTTTTTATTTAAGAGAAACAAATGAAAGGGAAATTTATGAAGTTTTGAGTAATCTAAATAAAAATTCAGCTGCAGGTTTTGATAATATAAACGTAAAAGATCTTATCATAATTATTGAACCACTAAGTACTGCCAATTTTAACAAATCTCATTAACAATGTACTTGCAACAGGAATATTTCCAGAAATATTAAAATTAGGAAAAATAACTCCATTACATAAAGCAGGCGATATAACCAATGAACAAAATTATAGACCAATTACAGTTGTTTGTGCTTTTTCCAAGATTATCGAGTCTTTGCTGAAAACTAGATTAATTCAATTTATAAACAAATATATCGGTTTTGATAGGTATCAGTATGGGTTTTTGAAGGAAAGTAATACTCTTTGTGCTGTAACAGATTTTGTAAACTGTGTAGCTTCAGCTTTGGATGAAAAAAAATGTGTAATTGCTGTATTTATTGATCTTAAAAAAGCTTTTGATGTAGTGGACCACTCGGTTCTACTGAATAAATTATGGACCATGGGTGTTCGAGGGGTGATGTATTCCCTTATTGTGTCCTTCTTGAAGGATCGACCTCAGTTTGTTACAGTGGAGGGAATAGAAAGTAATAGAATTTTAAACAATTGTGGAGTACCACAGGGTTCAGTTTTAGGGCCGATATTGTATTTAATTCACGTGTTGTCCCTGAGGCAGGCTGGCCTGACAGGACGGTATTTCACGTTTGCGGATGACACTGTATTTTTTTATAGTGGATCCAACATGCAAACACTTGAACAAATTGTAAATGTTGACTTGTGTAGATATTCTGAATGGTTATTGCATAACAAACTAAAACTTAATGCAGAAAAAACTATATATTTAGTATTCCAACAAAAAAATACAGAACATTATAAATTTGAAATAAATATCAATAATATGCAGATATCTCAAGTTCACTCAACCAAATATCTAGGTCTTATAGTTGATGATAAACTTAATTGGGGAAATCATATTGACAGTTTGGTTAAAAAAATCATCCCCATGTTGGGAGCATTGTATAGATGTACAAAATATTTAAATACCAGAAATCGCTGCTCAATTTACTATGCATACATTCTGTCAAACTTGAGATACCTTATAAATGTTTGGGGTACATGTGGTGTGACTTCTTTCAACAGAGTACAGGTACTACAAAATAGAGCGGTTAAGGTCCTGTTTCAAATGCCTTATCGTACCTCCTCAGAGTTATTGTACCCACATCTTTCGTTACAGCCAATAAGATATGTGTTAGAGTTAGAACAATGCAAACACATTTATAAGATTTTATTTTGCAATCTCAAAAGTAATTCTAGTCTAAAAACAAACAGTGAACTGTATGAGTACAAAACAAGAGGAAATCGTAATTTACATGTCAGTAGCATAAGAACAAATAAAGCACTTTATAATCCATTGACCAGAGCAGTACTTATGTATAACCAGGTACCGATTCATGTCAGAGAAGCTTCAACATTTGAAATATTTTTGAACAGACTCAAGGAATTTTTAAACACAAAAATGTATTTCTGAAAAAACTAAATAATAGTAATGATGAATAAATTGCAAAAAAAAAAAAAAAATGAAAATGATAATAATAAAAAAAAAAACAAAAAAAAATTAAAAAAAAAATTCCAAATTAGATTAGTTTGGTGCCAAAATAAACGTACAAATAAATGTGATTGTTGCGAATGTTTTTATTTACATAAGTGTTTTTTTTACTGTATAACTTTGGTAATTTTAAGGTTTTATTAGTCTGAATATTGTGTAGTCTGAATCAAATTATATCTTGCTCCGTTACCAGCGTTTAGCTGTTTAGGAGCGAATAACAAAGTACATAGCTTAACTTGTGCCTTAGATTATATGAAAAAAACAAAAATTGTAATTTGTTATTTAATAAATAAAAAAAAAAAACTAATTAGTTCGAGTATTATCAATATATGAACTCAAAGGCATTGAAGTGAAGTTGGGTTAATAAATCAGGAGCATTGATCATGTTATTAAGTATTTTATATAAAAATATATGACTGCAGAAACTTTCCCCCTTTTTTCAAGCGTTTGTATATTATGGGCTTTCATGATCTCCAATTTTGGTATATGTGTTACAGTTAAGATGCAAACTTGGCTAGTTTGTAAACTAGCTGGATAGTTTACAAACTAACCAACTCACTGGCTATTTTGATAAAAAACACAATTTTCACTAAAATAGTTAGTTAGTTAGTTAGTTTGCAAACTAACCAAGAGTCTTGGCTAATTTACTTGAAATTATTGAAAAAACTAAAATAGCTGGTTAGTTTATAAACTATCCAATGCAGTTTGGCTAATATGAAAACCATATTTTCTAGTAACACAAAATAGCCAAACCTTTGGCTAGTTTACAAACTAGCCAACCAATTCTCTAGTAGCTAATTTGCAAACAAAGTTAGGTTAAAGAATTCGACGCTCCATTGATATATCTGTATAATAATGAAGCAAATAATTTCCAATTTCACAACAAAGGAAATCTGGCAAAATATTAGCTTGTATGGACGATTTGTTTGATATTATTAAAGAATCTCACCAATCAACTGGGCACGGCAAAAGACAAGTTACAACAAAGCTAATAAATGAAAAATATTCAAATATTACCCAAGAAA